TGAAAGCCAAATAATGTATCATTGTATTGTATTGTATCAATGTATCATTGGCTATTCCAACGAATGAGGTGACAGGAGACAAAGAGAAGAAATAAAATGGAAGAAAATGAAACAGATACAGCTTAAATGTTGGAAGAAGCCATAAGACTTGAAACGGATTTCAAAATTATCCTATCAACTTTAAAGAGAGCCCAGCTGAAACGATCCGATCAGTCATACCATCCGCTGATGAGACAGATGAAAACAAAGAATGCATCAAACCAATAAGTTAAATTATGCTATCAACTTTAAAGAGAGTCCAGCTGAAACGATCCGATCAGTCATACCATCCGCTAACGAGACAGATGAAAACAAAGAATGCATCAAACCAATAAGTTCCATCAACTTTACTGGCAAGCAATTAATTATGGAAACGGCAAGATCAAGAGGCTGTATGGAAACGGCAAGATCAAGAGGCTGTATGGAAATGGCAAGATCAAGAGGCTGTATGGAAACGGCAAGATCAAGAGGCTGTATGGAAACGGCAAGATTAAGAGGCTGTATGGAAACGGCAAGATCAAGAGGCTGTATGGAAAGGGGTGTGCAATCACTTCCTACTACATGTAGATGAATTCTTCTCATCCACTGAGTCACCAACTAAGAAAGAGGCACTAAAAATAGCAGGATATATGTTCGAAATTGGACATTTGGTGGATATCTTTCACGATGAGGTTATTGCCGAAACTCACATTAAAAACATCAGTAGACAATAAACCCTCATCGATGGCGGTGATTATTTTTTCTCAGTAAAGTTATATGTATGGTATAATAAACAAAATTATTTATTATATGAACAGTCAGAGATAGTTTGAAAGTATAAACGGTGGAACGAGTATCTCTGCTGATCAGCAGTCCCAAAGGCAACTCTAATACGGTGTAAACCACATCTCAGGCTGACGTTTTCAAGGAAACAAAAGTTAAACAAAGCGGTTAAAATGGGGTGAGCAGTGAGAAGGATTGATCCCGTGTTGTAGAACTTTATGTAGTCCCCCCTCATTTCTGAAGCCTAGTTTTTATATGCTGCAGGGAGGCTTCTCATAAAGTGTCATCTCAATTTTTTTCTCCTTATTTTGACTGCCAAAGAATATACACAAAACTATGCAAATCAACAATATCTGCCTGCCGCTGCTCGTTCATGTGAATTCAGAAAAACCCGTTTGTAGGTAAATGCTCTTCATTGCATGTTAGTGTAGATGGACAGTTCAGTCAACATTTTGTTCAGTTTTATGTATTTTATTTACTTATGATAGGTTGTTTACTTTGTTCCCACTATCGATTTATATGTGATTGTGGTAAAAACAATTTTTTAAAATAAAAAAAAATCTTTTAGTCGCTTTAAGTCGTAAAAATATCCACGAGATATTTCCTATTTGATAAATTATTTTTTGGTCTTATCAACAAACCAACAGGACGATCGACGAAATCAGATAGTTTTAACCCAACAATTTCCAACGTTTCTTAAATCCTTTGAAACGTATGAATGACTCAAGATTTTTATATCAAATTTAACTTTCCCGTGTTTTTGAAGTCGTAGATTGCAAAAGTTGGCCCAGCATGAGTTACTCCATGTACTGAGTCAAAGCGTATTGATTTAAACCGGACATTGATCTCCTTGTGGCCTATTTCAGTTTTGTCAAATCAAGTGTAAACTGACCTTGTGAAATATACGAGATCTACAGATTGTGCGATACATTTAGACAAATATAATTGTGTGTGATCGTCCACATGAAATACTTATTTTCTTCCTTGTTCATGATGAGCTGTTTCAGCCATCCTGCCATTGTGGTTGTTATTATCATCTCTTTGTTATCACTATAAATCTATATTTCCCATGAATAAAGTATATTTCGAAAAACATAAAAAATAATTATAATCTGCTGACTGTTATTTTTAAACCCAACTAGCTTTATCCACACTTGTTTGCAGTCCGAATATGTCAAGAAATAGACATCAATTTTCGATACTGACATTCTTTCTATTATGCTCCACTCATGTAATATTTCAAATGCTTCTTTTAAAATCGACTAGGTTCGGTGTTATTATTTATAATGTGTAAAAACTTTCAGCTTGGTATTAACCAATATGTCTTTATGCTCTGGCCCTTCTAGAGAATTTTAATTTCCGAAAGAACATCCACAAGTGTTGTTCTGGGGCTTTACGCCATTTTTCAGCACACTGTCATGGTCTACCTAGGTAGACGGATGTTTATCCAACTGACACTAATCCGGTGTTTCATTTGTGGACAAACGCCGCGAGCAAGAAGCCAAGCGAGACGTAGTCGCCAAAAGGTTCTTTGTGCAGGACAGGGCATCGTAAATTACACCTGGGTGCTAATCCTTTAGTAGGACATCAAAAGAGCCATTTGTAATAAAATGGTAGGCAACTTATATTGACAGATCCGCTGATTTACAACTTGGGAATGGTTAGTCCACCGCATCCAATCAGAATTAAGCTAGTGGGTGGACATACCTCTAAGTTTCGAGGATATCAAAATGACTCCATCCCAGAATTATTTAGTAGACCGAGGCAGATTACTAGGTGATTGAACGATTAAGGCTACTCCGAGATACGCACTCGTAAATTTGGCGTGAATCGCAGGGAAAAGATTGCGAACAAAAAGAAAGCTTCAAGAAGGTAGATATTCGTTTGATTTTTACTCACACATTGCAATGCCGTAACTGTAAGTACTAATATTATGTTTACGCAATTATTAATAGTATTGTTAGAATGAAGAATTACTTTGTAGAGTTTCATTTGTGTACTTATTTGAGATTTGTATTGGAGTTAGGAAATGATTTATGTAAGCAAGCTTATGAATGTATGTTTGGATATGTTCAGAGCATAGATAGTTGCATATTTATATATTTGTATGATTTGTGATGCAAAATAGATGTGATGGTTATTATGTATTGGTGTGAATCAATTATCGTTGCCTGTATACGAGTAATTGATATCGTGCTTTATGATGTGTTATTATGTTATGATTTTACATTGTGTTTACCATTCATGAATGTATGAGTATTTCGGTGGGAATGGATGCGTGACCCATGAAATTTGATAGCCTAATCTGATGATAAGTTATCTGGGTAGTGTGAGTGTTTATGCCCTCATTGTGTTTTACAGGAAGCTTTCCGGGTGGGAAAACTTCAGTTAGAACGAGAGTCCCGAGAGTCTGAGAGGGAAGACTGAAGTAAGACTGTCGGTACAGTCAGGGTCGACGGATTGGAGTCGACGGTTTGACGAGGAAGTCGACGGAAAAGGAAGTGGAGGTGGAGAGGAAATTGGAAGGAGCAAAGGAGAAGTAGAAGTGGAGAGGAAATTTGAAGGAGTAAAGGAGGAGTGCAGGAGAAATTTAGAGAGACAGATGAGTAAAACCAAGGACAGGGCGAAATTCTCACACTGGTTCAGATGATGAAATAGGCACAATAGGGTCGAGCGATTGGGAAGTTCGCATGTTGAAATTTTATTATTAATTAAATTGTTTTATTTAATTCACCCCTTTGTACTTTGTATTTAACTGTTTAACTTCACCCTTTAGTACCTTTGTATTTAACTGTCGGCATTGCTGACTGGGGGCTCAGAACCATATTCACCTACTTAACTTCTGAACCAAAATCGAGCCTGGGTGGGTGCCATACCTACAAAAATATTGGAAACACCCCACCCCATTTCTTATAACCAAAACCATACACGGGTGTAAAAAAAATAATTAATTAAACCTTGTAACACTCAAGGGTATAACTACCCCCCCCCCCCGTAACACACACGATAGGCTGGCTATACATGGCGGCCAGTATTAATGGTGGAGGAAGAAACCTGAAAATCACCGGAAAGAACCACCGACACACGAGATTCTACTGGCAAGCTTTCCCACATATCCACATTCACCGAATCTGGACTCAACCTACTCAGACAGTGGTGGGATGGCAGTGATCCGAAACGGACAGCGCTTTAGACCACTCGGCCACTCAGGGCCCCTCCACGAAGGTAATTGGTCAAGTAAATATAGATTAAAAAATCACTCACACAAAACAAAACAACCACAACCCCCCAAACCAAACAAACAAAACATCAGTGTTGCCGATAGCCAAATTAAAGGCACTGTGAAGGTTCGGCATCCAGAAGAAATCGCTTCTTATACTTCCTTATACAACGTTGTAAGCTTATGGGAAATTATTTAGTATTGTGCAATAGATAGGTCGTTCTTATTGTTCTTCTTTTCGTCCTCTCAAAAGATTGTATATTTTTAATATACTGCATTTTATTTCTGTACGATTTGTTTTGTAAACCACTGCAGCAGTTTGTTCACGATTCATTAAGATTAAAGGATTAAGTTGTCAGCAACATTGCTTTATTTAACTTTCATATAACTGTGTTTCATTGAAAAGAATATAATCTTTATCAGGTTTTTGATCGGAAATCAGGGTAAAAGTGTCTAAGCTAGTCAACAATTGTTGTAAAATAACAATGAAAAATCTGCGGAAATGAGAAATAGCTTATTTTGTGAATGAACCCGTATGTTTTGACATATCTCATTGAATCTATAACACACACACACACACACACACACACACACATATATATATATATATATATATATATATATATATATATATATATATATATATATATATATATATATATATATATATATATATGAGAGAGAGAGAGAGAGAGAATGTGCTATATAATTATTAGACCAACATGCTAAAAACAAGGAACGTTTTAATAGTGCCTAAGACAGTGCACATACTTTCAAACTCCAAAATTCTCATCTGTGTATGTGGAAGTGGATGTCCAGATCAGATTGACAACGAATTCTAAACCATGGCTGATGTAGAACCATTATGTCACACCATAAAATCATTATACCACACCAGGAGTGGATTAGGACTTTGGGAAGTCAGGGGCACTTCATATATAGGTCTACAAATACACCCCAAACACTCTTTTATATGACCGCTCCGGTGGCCTAGTGGTTAGAGCGTCCGCTCCGGATGCTGGAGGTCGTGGGTTAGATCCCCGGCCAAAGACTTCTAAAAATGGTACTTACAGCTGCCTCGCTTGGCGCTCAGTATTAAGAGGTTAGTGTTAGTAATGGTCGGCCTGGGGTCAGGATAATGTGACTGGGTGGGACATCATGCTACATGTCTGTGGATGTGCTAGACATGACTTTAAACTGTCACACTGCAAACATCGTAGAAATATGACTGAAATTGTTTTAAAGCTACGTTAAAAATCTAAATCATACAAATCACTCTTTTAAATGTATATACTTACTATAGTTATAGTAAGTTAAGTATTAGGCGTTTTACATCTATATATGATTTATTTAAACACACGTAATAACCCATGACTGGCGAGGAGGTGAGTGCACCCTGCTCCCCCTCTCCGCGCCCTAATCCTGCACTGTACTAAACCCTCAATTTACGCTTGAGCCAGTCCAACACAGATAATGCCAACCGGATCTCAGAGAAGCATTATGTAATTACCCCTCTGGGTGCCTTTGACATATCGACGACTAAGTTTCTTTTCGTATGGCAAAATATCTAAGTACAGAAGTTAGATGTTAAGAAGACATCCATGGAAACAATATGGTGGACGTCAATAAACTATACAAGCAATAGTAATTTTTAAAAATATATCTAACGAGAGAAAGGGAGGCAGGGTACAGTTTCGTAATTTGGCCCCTGGCAATATGTTGATAGTGAAATACCAATAGTTGTCTAGGAAGAAGAGCTAGCCTCTCATAGCAGTAAACATGTAGGTTTGGGACAAGGAGCACATCTCAAAAACGGCTTGGATGACAACTATATTCAACTGCATCAGCCTGTTTAGTACACACTGTTTGGCAGAAATGTAATCTAGGAAAAGGGTTTGTGTTTGCACTGTGAGTACCACATAGTGTCAAAAATGACCTTCGGACATAAAAATTGCAGGTATAAATTTGGAGTTAGGGTGAATAAACTTCTTCTGCTATGAACTGCCACTGACTTCTCTTGTCAAGTGGATAATATTTTTATGCTTTGTTTTAATATTGGTATCTCAAAATATGGACATGCTTGACCTCACTTGTGTATTTGATTTTTTATGATTTTTGTACTAGGTCACTGATTGCGGCATTAAATTTGTACATAAAAACTGGCTCCTGCCCCCTTGAGCCAGTCCAACACAGATAATGCCAACCGGATCTAAGAGAAGCATGATGTAATTACCCCTCTGGGTGCCTTTGACATATCGACGACTAAGTTTCTTTTCGTATGGCAAAATATCTAAGTACAGAAGTTGGATGTTAAGAAGACATCCATGGAAACAATATGGTGGACGTCAATAAACTATACAAGCAATAGCAATTTTTAAAAATATATCTAACGAGAGAAAGTAAATTTAAAGCGATGGAAGAAAATCAGTGTGATATAAAGCTTGTTTTAAAGTTTATTTCCAACTGCCCGTCAAAATGATTCCTATCGATCCCAGCGTTTTGCTAAGGCCGTTACCGTTTAAAATAACGCACATGTAATCAAAGTTATCCACGAGACCACATCAATAAAAAATATTAAAGATGTGTTGGCATTAGTAAAAGAAGATGACAAATTGCCAAAATATTTAAAAGCACTATCCCGCCAGTCAATTGTAGTCCAAATGGCGCCACCAGCTTCGCCAGACAAAAATAAATAAGCTGTCTCCGAAGTGATGCGCGGGGCAGGTTACTGGCAAATTAATGAAGTCTAGTGAACCGCTAGATTGTGGAGTGGCTGGAGAGGACTATTCTCACATTATTACCTGCTGCCAGGTGTATATTTTGCGGTCATTAATTGAGCTGCAGTGTATCCAATTCCTGAAAAAAGATAGCAATATTCCATTTTCTCCAGAAATTTGAGATCAACTGCAGATTTACGAATAAGCATACAAGAACTTAGATTTCCCTAGTTAAAATTTGTTGTTGCAATTACACCTAAAACGGTGACCAATCGGACTGCAAGTCACCTGCATACGACTGCGTAATTTTCCTGTTACTCATTATTTCAATGAGACGAGCAAGTGTTAGACAAAGAGAACTAGAATATCTAGTTAAATGTTTTATAGCATGTACATATTCATGCCGTTATAACCTTTCGTCAAATATCGGAGAAAAAAAGTTTAAAATGTTTAAAAGTTGAAAATAAAATTTTTAAAATTTTCTAATAGTTAAATTTGTAATGTTTAGGAGGAGAAATGTCAATAGGTCAGTGAACGAAGAGGTTGAGAGATATGTTTATATGCAGATGGTGGTTGAATGAAAAAACCTTATTATTTCATCCGCTAAGATTATTACATGTTTTATATCATTCATATTTTCTAAAGGAAGGGGAAGAGGATGACTTTAGTTTGAATACTGAAATAAACTGGTGTATGCTATTTGTATTTACGTCTCCGTTTATAAGTTGATACAATTTAGTGTTTTGTTTTGTTGCTTGAAGAGTCAGGGTTATGAATATTTTTCTCACATTGAACTATTACCCAGTTTCTATGAAACGACGTTATTATGTGCCGTATTCACAGAACTTTATGATCGCATTAATTAGTTTCGTCAAATGGAGCCTCCATAATTTTTTAACAGAAGACATTCTCAGGATATGTGGTTAATAATTTAAGATAATAATAATTATTTGCATTAGGCATTTTGGTAATGTTACGTGGTATATGGCGTAAAGTTCAATTCTTCGGCTTGGAAAGACTTACTGATGAGTTGTACATCTGTACAGCAGAATAAACCATGCTAGTTTGAAATTTGAGTTTGTAATGCGTGGTAATTAGATTACCATTTTTTGTAGTATTTATGAGTATAAGAACCCTTTAGTTGATAACGTTTGCCTTGAGGTCCTTGGAAATAGGGGAAACAATGGACAACAATGAAGATGCAAGCAGGTGTTGGTTGATTCACTCCGTAGTGAGACCCCTTACCAGTTAAATACCCATCTATGTTTTTACATTATTTGCTTCGACAAGTAGACAACAATTAGAAATATCAGTGGAACGAAAGAGCATTGAAATAAATTAAGAATAGTATAGAACGAGAAAATTTAATTAACAATAAATACAGCGTTTAGCACAAACATGTTTACGAATCTTATTCTAAAGTTGGCATGATATCTGAGTTGCAATGACCCACAATAAGCAGGACAGATTGGTGGCTTTGACAATAAGCAAAGAAGAATGAACAGAATAAACAGTGGAAAGAATAGTGGAATAATAAGAAATTAAAGCATTTTGCCATCACAAGTTAGCGAATCTTGTTCTAATGCGTGTACGAAATATGAGTTGCAAGATTATTGTTAAGGTAAGGGTTAGCATTAAAAGGTACATTATACTGGCTGTGCTAGAAAAGAAACTGAATTGATAGGATAGGATAGAAGAAACAAACTTTCAACAGAACTACACAATACTGGACAAAAATAATAGCGGTAAAAAGAAAAGGAATGAATATAAATTTATATTAAGAGGAAATAGAATTATTAGCCGTCAGTGGTTAGCAAATCTAAATCTTACTTAAATATAAAAAAGGGCTTGTACAATTATGTATGTCAAGATGGTAGCTTCGATTTGCAAAAACGTGTTAATTGATATCAGATAAGATACAAGAGGTCAAATTTTAATCAAATTGCAAGGTTATGACTAATAAGAAAATGTGCATAATCTCAGTTCTAATGTTGAAACAATGACATGCAAAACATTTCCTTCTTTGCAACGCATGTGTATCTTTTTAATCGTTCAGAGTATAATGGAAACGATTATTGTTCTCTGTCCTACAAACATGATTATTCTGTCATAGTCTTGATGTGGCGAAAAACAAATACTGGATAAATTTCGCAAGAGGATATCAAGGAACTGGTCTGAAGAAAGGGCGTACAGGTAGTTTTCTCATATTCATTGAACTGTGTATAGCCCAGAAACAAGGACAAAATAATAGACTAATTCTTTTTCTGTCTCATTCTCTGTATCTCTTTCTCACTGTCTCTCATGAAGTAAAATGCACCTTATGAATAATAAATGACCAATCTGTCAAGTGACCCATTATGTATTTGTGTTCGGACCTGCAATATATGGATATTGAACAAGAGTTTGTGGAAATATCATCTGCTATGTTTATTGATGCTAATTTCTTGTCACATTTTCATGAATCTTTTGACATGTTATTTATTATAGGATTTAATGATCATGGTTGGGTATTTATGTTAACTTTGTGAGTCATTAGGTAAAATATACACATCGATAAATACCCAACCACGATCATCTAATCTTTATAATTCCAATTTACTTCCTTTCTAACATTATATTAGCATATTTAATCAACAAAACATTAGCTTTATGATCGAAGTTGTTTTCTCATTAGCCTCTTAACTGCAATAGAATACATAGCCCTATCTTTGTTGGCCAAGATTCGTCGATACTTTATATAGTAATATGGGGTAGAATGTCATAGCAGGTCATGCCAGTGGTACATTGTTATAATCATTATTTTAATATATATATATATATATATATATATATATATATATATATATATATATATATATATATATATATATATATATATATATATATATATATATATATATATATATATATATATATATGGTTCTTACGCTTAAACCAGGATATTCATTTTTTTCTAAAAAATTATGCTTGCGTAAGGCACGTGTTTTTATAACTACGTTGTTGTTACTTTCTACGCATTTCGATATTTCAAAAGCAAAATCGTATAAATTTTTAGTGAGATCACTTTTTTGACATATTACCCTGACCTTTAATAACCACTGCTGTAACATGTTGTCGAAGTGAAATGCAATAATTTCCGAAGACCGGCTTGTAAAGTCTACCACACGCCTTCGTAGGCAAAAGGGATAAGTGGTGAAGTGTAGGAGGGTCTGGGCAACTACATTGTTTTAAGTTATAATGGTCCAATTTTATCTGTGGTTTGTAAATTTTGATTGGAAATCACGGGAGTGGATGGGTGAGTTTTGGTTGTTGTTATTAGGGTGTAATGGTTTGATA